TAGTAAGAGATGATACGTTTTCTGGGTTCAGTGAGCCTGGATTTTCAAAACCTGGGCTCTTCGCGACTGTTCTCAACTAAATGTCAATCTGAATTTTTCTCGCTTAAGTTCAAGAATATCAATTGTTAAGTGTATTTATTATTTAATTACATATTCAGTTTTACCATTTACCAAAGAGTTCTCCTTTCCTATCTTCAAAATTACCTCCAAAAATGTCTCCGAAGCGACAAGCGTGATTCCCCACAGTTGTTATACGTGGAAGTGACAGAAACGCCACTGCGTTGGTTCAGTTCAACTGAGTTCAACTGAATCAACAACGCCATCGTTGTTGGGTCAGTTACTAGACCTGTTGGCAACGACAGTTGCGCTCAAGTGCCAGTGTTCGTCACATCCTATGAAATATTCCCAGAAGAACTACCAGCACTCGGGAATATATTGTCCCCTGCCAATGTGCGGGCATGGTAGAGAGAGAAATACTTATCCACATCATGTGGATTGATAGATAAGTGATGTTGTTGATGATGTTATTTGAAGTCGGGGCCGTGCTAGAACGAGAGGCAAGGGAAACAGGAAAACCCCCAGAAAACTTGTCATGACAACTTCTTTGCCTAATAAATTCCTCTCTTGGATCGGCCGGGTTTGGAAACGAGTCGCAAAGTCAGTGTTGCTACCCTGCACTTTGCTCCAGTATACCTGAGCTGTACAAACCTTTAGAAAAAGGCCCTTAGAACGAGATATCGTAAGTCGGCAGCGTGGGTGTATGGATTGACAATTATGGCGTCATGAAATTAACTATGAAGTTACTTCATAGTTAATTTCATGACGCTATAATTATCAATCCATACACCATATCAATCCAATGTTATAAAGAGTGGCAAGGGAAACAGGAGAACCCCGAGGAAACCTGCAACGAATTCGCGTTTGGCAACAAAATCTGTGTGGATCCACAGATATTTGAACCACGTTAGACAGCAGAGGAAGGCGAGCGGTCTGAACACATGGGTCACCTCGGTCACTCCCACGATTCGCTCCCTTGACTGGACTCAACAAACGTTACTCGCACTCTCGTCACTCACATACACCCCGGAAATTGTACTCGACTGTACAAACGTCGGTCATACACCACTATTCCCTCTCTTGGCAGGACACAACTGAATGAACGTCACACATACACCACAATTCCCTTGTCCCCACTTAATCGAACAAACGTCACACAGCACGAATCGCATGCCTTGACTGCACCCAACCAGGCAAACCTAAGTCACGAAAAAGATTCGGTGCCTTGAGTCAAGCGAACAATCGTCGGCGACGCTCGCGGAACACATCCCAGCACATCGCGGCGTCTCCGCGCCGCATCCGCCAAAGGGGCGAGGCGATATTATCTTAAAGGCGGCCATTTTGGACGCGCACAAAGGGCTGTATCAAGCAATAAATTGGCGCGGGCGGCGGTGGCTGGCGCCTATCTTGCGCGCGCTCCGTGATTTATCCCGATGTCCGCCGCCTCGGCGTCGGCGTCGACTGAGGGCGTCGGCCGGCGCGCGGGTGGCGCCGCCGCCGCCGCCGCCGGCCGGACGAAGAACGCACCCCGAAAGGAACCAATGGACTTTGACGATGGACGGAAGAGCAGTAGTGGTAATTGTGGTGACGGTTCCAGTTATGAAGTTAAAGCGAATAGCGCGCACAAATTCTGGCCATATATAAATTCATGCAGAAGTAGCACTTTTACACCACCAATTATTGCTGTTTTTGGTTACAAAGGTATCTTACACAATTTGCTGAATATTTATGAGTACTATCTCCCAAATATAGAGAATTTCTCTTCTTCTTCTTCTTCTTCTTCTTCTTCTTCTTCTTCTTCTTCTTTACCATATCTTTCATTGTCTTCTCCTCTGTATTATTGTACTCTTCTCTTCCTACAACATTACACTCTTCTCTTCCTACAACATTACACTCTTCTCTTCCTACAACATTACACTCTTCTCCTCCTGCAACATTATATTCTTCTCTTCCTACAACATTATATTCTTCTCCTCCTGCAACAATATATTCTTCTTCTCCTGCAACATTATATTCTTCTTCTCCTGCAACATTATATTCTTCTCCTCCTTGCAACATTATATTCTTCTCTGTCTCCTCCATCTTAATCTCCTCCCTTTTGTTTCTTTACTCCATCTTCTCTGTGCCCTTCTATTTATGAAATTTCATACGTGGAATAGTCATAGTAAGAATATTATAATAAGAATATAATATATCACATGCTTTGAAATAATCACATATCTGTAATTTCTAAAGCCCTTCTTGCGGCTTTTTTGTCAATTTCGCCATCCCTTGCGTCCTAAAAAATCGATGACGTGAAGGGCCTGAAAGTTCACGGGAACCGTCACACCCAAAAGAACTCTTGTTGAAAAGATCCTATCGTTTAACGCGAAGGAAAATAAAACATACCCTGAAATTAGTGGTAGATGATAGCACCAAGAATAATAAATGAGAGCATAAGATACAAAATGTATATTGACAGGCGCATAAATATTAGTTAAGTTCTCTGGTTAAAAATAGAAAGTCTCAAAAAGACTACATGCTTGAACTTACTACCATTCAGATGTCTTTGTAAGAACACTAATATGATTACATTGTACGAGAAGATCCCATGAATTGAATATGCTCCTTATCTCAGTCTAGTTGTCATCGCCTCTTCTAAGCTTCTTTCCCTCTTATCTCACCTCGCTTTGGTTCTTCTCTTTTCCTCATTTTCCTTTGCACTCCCAATATGTATGCCGTTTACACACACGACACATAAATTATAAATCACACACTATCATAAATCACAGGTGTTGCAATATCATCGTAAATATCTCTATTCAATTAATTGCATCAGCGATAATGCCTATTTGTTTAATAATTTCTTTACTTCGTACCAGTTTTTTTATTTTTATTTTCGAATCTGCACCATGTAAGCAGTACATATAATTAAAGACTTGTGTTAGAAGATGTTTTTCAGTTTCCACATTATTATTAATTGTAGTGTAGTTTAGGTAACCAGAGAAAGCACTGAATTTTCTGAGTATTCCAAAGGTTCCAAAAATATGAGATATTTTGAATCTATCATCCATTAATCTTACAGAAGAATGACAACCAAAAGGATTGGCACAACAAATCCTATAAGTTAGCTTGGAAGTATATTCAAAAGTTCATTTACCAAAGTGGCTATCTCGAAGTCGCAATACCATAAGCAGACGATCGACCTGTTAAGCTGTTTCAAATTATCTTGAAAGAATATGGGATTGTCACTTAGCTCAGAATTCGAACTTATTTTGGTTGTTCGAGCCATTATCGTAATAAATCGTGAGTTACAAATGCGATATTATATTGCATTATTTACCTCAAAATATTTCGTTATTCGCATTATTAAATTATTATTTCATCATGTTAACGCAACAAAATTTTGAAAAATGTTTTATTTCTTAACAGTGATATTTTGGTCAAATGACTTATATAGATTAATGACAAGTAAGCTATTGTTACCAATGCAAATGTTTAGTGCATTTATATTATCTATGTTCCCATCATCAAAGAAATTTTTGAAAGCTTATGAAGGCAATAATTCTTGCATGAAGCATCACTGTTAAAGTAAATTCCTTGCGTTTATAGAAACATATATATGAGTTAATACAAAACATTTTGTGATATAATTATGTCTCTCAAATATCAATCTGTAATGGCGTAAATTAAAGATTTCTAAGTAGTATTTTATTTTCTTTATACCCCTATTTACATACATCTTGCAAATATTTCAAAGGAAAAAGGAATATCCATAATGCACAGAAAGTTTAAAAATTTACGAAGTTGCATAACTGGCTGTCCAGTACTTTGCCTCTTCTTGTAATAATTAATGTGTTGCTAATTTGTAATTCTAGTAGAATACTATGAATAAATTCATTTTACATTCTGAATTACAAAATTTCCGTTATGTTGTCTTCATTCTTGGCATATATTCTAGAAAGTAATAATTCTTTCGAATGATAAACGAATAGTTCTGTGATACATGTCATTGATAACTTGACAACACAAACCTATCCAACGAGAACGCTCACAATTTTCAGTCAGGTTACGTTCCTCCTGTCGAATATATGGCTTCTAATGACTGAAATACGACCGATACAAATAACGAACGCTAAACACATTTTTATAAACGACAATTTAAGAAGATACAGATATAACGAACCCACTTTCTCAAAGAACGCCGAAAAGCTCGAGACCATTTAACTTCCGTAGATGCGTAAAATAAACTGAGATAATTTCTGACAAACATCCACTGTGATAAAGTGCAAAGGAGAATACAGGTTTCAGGGATAAAATGAAAATTAAAGACTCTCCCCAATGATTACCCTCACATCAGCGCTCGCCCGGTCGAAAACAGCCGAGAATTTAAGGAACAGGTTCGTCTGGTACTGGCTGCTTGCCGCGCTGTGGAACTTCGTGGAGACGGTGCGTGCTACGGAAAGGTGGTGGTGGTGGTAATGGAGAAACGACGATGACGGAGCAAGAACTTGCACGGTTATTCAATGATCGACGGGGGTTAATGACAATTGTTGCGACTATCGTGACGGGTAGCTTTCTTCGAGGTAACAGAAATGATGTAGTAGTGATGACGGTAGTGAATGTAACACTATCTGAGGTGACAGGATCAGTGGTAAAAGTAGTGGTGGTGGTGACATAAGTGGCGGTGCCAAGAATAATATTGTAGCGACAGTGATTGTAGTGGTAATAATATGGCAATGACAGTATCGGTGAAAATAGCAGTAGTGACACCGTCAGAGACTGTAGCGGCGGTGAAAATAGTGGTGGTGTCACTGTAATGTAACAACGGTAATATTAGTTATACTGTCAGGAGCGGCGGTGACAATAGCCGTGGTGATTACAGGCGATAATAGTAACGGTAGTGATGGTAGCGGCGGCGACAATATCTACGATTATATCAGTGGTGATAGCGGCGATAGCACATGACAAAGAGTCGCAAAATAATCTACTACAGAAACGGTGGTGGTAGTACAGACGGTGACAAAAGGGCACTTAAGACACATTACTTCGATGGCTGCAGTGGGATTGTCAGCGGTCATTTGGTAGCAATGGCGAAAGATGTTGCATTAGTAACAGTATCAGTTCGAAAGCGACGTCAGTGTTAATTGTGGTCAAAAAAAAGCAATGATATTCTGGAGGTGTATTTCCAGGTGTAGAGAGCAGAGAGCTACAGCGGCGCAATAATCCGCAGTCGGCGAACTGGCTCTTTCGGAACACAAGAACCTGCCCGCTGCTGCCACCATCGCCGCCGCCGCCGCCTCGAGCCCCGCGCTCCCAAACTGGTAGAGAGAGAGCCGCTCCCTCCCTCGTGTCCTCCACCTCTGGGTCAGTAGTGCTATTCTTTTCTCCCCCTTTACTATCGCAGACCTGAAAGTGAGAGTCCAAACAACTTTCCTGAATCGAACCAGCTTGACTCCAGGGGCTTTCCTGGATTCCGGGCTCATAGTTCAAGAGAATATGATGATAGAGCAACTGATTTTCTGACAAAATTTTATATGGTACACGTTCTAATCCATTGTAAATGTAACAAACGTTTGTAATTAATTTTCATGGAGGCATTTTAAACGTTCGTAATTCATTCTAGAAGTAAATGTTCTAAGTGTGTTATTTGTATTAATAGAAAAACTTGTTAATCTTATTTTTGTTTTCCACAACATTTTCTTTAATTTCCGATATTTGTTTAATTCACATTGAGTATGACATATTTTCTTTGACTTTTTCATATTCTTTGCATTTTCACACAATCAATAATGTGACGTTGAAAAAGTCGATTTTTATTAATCAAAACATGTGTGTAAATAATTACTGTTAAATTCATTGATGACATTCAATAAAATTTTACATTAATAATGTTTGTATTTTAGAAAGGGTATAAAGTGAAGAGTGAATTCGTTGACCACGTGTAAGAACGGCAAATAAGGCGAAGACAATGCCAACGAAAGGAGATGAGGGCAAAGACAAGGACATGAGATGAAATACTGGTGAATGGACATGAAAGTGAAGACGAAAGATGAAGAGCAATCACGATGCATGTGAGAAGAGTAAACAGTAAGAGAAAGTCGCAGTAAAAAAATGGTGGTAGAAAGGTCAAGGATAATAAAGTATTCAGAATAAGAGATCAAAATTCATGGAATATTTACAGGACTTTTAGAAATATTAGAACACAGAATTATTGATTTCACACAGGTTTTTCATGTAATTTATCTAACACAAATGTAGAATAAGTCGGTCTGGACGGCCGAGATCGCTAAGGAAGTAGTGCCACAGCGATCTCGGACCGAAGGATTGCGGGTTCGAGTCCCGCCCCGGGCATGGTTATATTGTGTTCGTCCTTTCACACCCCTACTATCATCATAAAAAAAGTAGAATATATTGCATCTATGGCACCTTTACAGCTGCTAGCGATTCGCACACCTGGCGGTGTACATGAGATTTTTTACCGTTTTGATGAAGCTAAGGAACAGTTAATCCAATTTCATAATCATACGAAACATTTCATATTTCAATAACTAAATCCATTAACCCTAATTATTACGATATTTTAATACTTTAATTTCAAAAATAGCAAATACAATTCCGTCAACATTGTCCCAGGAATGTACTCAAAGCTAACGCGAAAACAAATTGCAACAAGACAAATTTACAATATATTAATTAATACGCGCACTTTACTACTGCAGTCAAAACGGCAAATTCACAGTAGTTTTGTGGACAAGCTAGCTCTCAACATTTCTCATGTTTTTTAACAGTCGTGTAGTAGGGGTGCCAAAGATAGGACAGGCGCCCTTGAGTACCTCTAGCAAGAAATTGTAAATTAAAAAAGTATTATTAAAATAACAATTCATGACAAAATCGTAATTTAAAACAGTCATTAAGAAGTAAAATAGTTTTTTAAATGTTCTGAACATTTTTATAAACAGGAATAAAACTGTTGGAAAATGAATACTACATTGTCTAGTTTAAATTATTCGGTATCATTTGGGTTTTTGAAACAGCAATCATCATGATTGCAATGTAAGACTACAACAATCCACTATTTTCTTGGCATTTGCCATTTGGACCAACTTTTGCTAATCAATCCCACCCTGTCGTAATTTAATCCACTCCCAAAAGGAGTATCTGGCGACTGGAGGGGTTTAATATAATGATTTTCGAAATATCTAGAGCGGAAAGAACTTTGTAAGAAGGCTTTTTAACCTCTAGGTAGCGCCCACTGTGTTTATTTTACTGTGATTGGTAATTGTACAGGGAACACGTAAGGACAACTTAATCACACACAAACATCCACATTCGAGAAGGGATTCGAATCGCGATCCTTCGAATTGAGGCAGGTACGACCCTTCAGCCTTAGCGACCTGGGCTATGCAGGCCGGCGGAAAGAACTTCATTACGTCAAATATTTAAGTTTACGTTACTCCAAGAAATGCTGCAGTTTGACCTGTTGCTTTATTCTCCTTCCACGAGACAGAAGTCGCCAAATCTGTCAGACACAGAACATCGCCTCAGGCGACATTCCTGCTGCACCCAGCCTGGCTTTTTGTCCCCCGTCCCATTACATCCCGTCCCTCGGTCCGTCCCGCCGTCCGCCCGTCCGTCGCCTGTCGCCCAAGCGTGCACCGCACCTTGTGGCATGCTAGTGAACTTGGCCTCGGGTGATGGGAGGCAGAGCAGGTCGGTTTTTGTACGATCTCTGAGAGGCTCGTCTCTCTGTGTCACTTCAACATGACGAGAATTAAAAGCTGCTGCTTCTGCAAAGGTCGCATGTCGCCTCAGGCAGCTCGCACATGACGGATTTGGCAACTTGCAACTCGGCGGCGGCAGGAAGCGAGAAGTCAGACCCGCGATCATTCTTCTCTGGCACACACACACACACATACATACACACATGCACACGCGCGAGTGAAATTGAAGGGTTGTGGGATGTTGAGAGACCTACATATCCGAGATGTTAGTCACCCATCTCAATGACTTAGGGAAGAGATCAGGGCCTCTAGGTGAATGAGTACGCGAATGACATACAAATCGTTTAAGAGCAAGCTGAGAGGGCTGATGACAAAATCCAAGAGTCATCAGGGTAACGGTGCATTCCTAGAAAAACTGTCTAGAGTTTCCCTTTGTCCCCCACAAATCTCACAAGGATTCGTCGAGGATTGTACTCGGGCCTCAGTAGTCGAAGGCACATGTGAGAATGTATTGGCGATGGGTCATTTGGAAGTGGCAAGTGGTCCCCTGCCCGGAAGATGAATAAGGAATATAGAACGAAGGGGTGCGCGGTTCATTTCGATTGTATGCCGTTTTGGGCATATGCTGTGGAAACTGTCTACAAGTGACTGGAGGCAACCCTGCAGACGACCAACCAGAGAAGCCGGTCTCCAGAATTCTCATCCAAGTAACGGTAAAACCCGAAAAAGTTCCTGCAAGGTGCCGACAGTCCACAACGCGCAAAGCACCGTCTGGTCTTGAGCATTCACACTTCACTTACTGACTCACAATTTTATACGCAAACGCACCCATAAATAAACTGGCGTTTCCAAGTTTTATTAAATATTTTAATTTGAGTTTGATTAATGTTATAATATTGACCAATAGTATACATCGTGTTTCATGGTGAACATCAACTATTTCATGGCGAAACACTATCTTGTACCTGATTGGATAATTAAAACTGCTCGATACATTCCAGAACATTCGTGATTGCTAGAGATGCGAAAGAAAACCTAAAAGTTGTTGACTTGATTGTCTTGCTTTCCTCTGAACTGAAGGATGGTCAGATAACGTGCAGTTATGTGATATTTACTGAATATACAACTTACAACATTTATTGGATGGATTACTAAGACACAGCATCATTATTATCGCAGGTAGAGCTATTGATAGTTTGGATTTCCATGAGAATGAATTGAAGACGCTCCTCTACAGAGAACTGAACACTTATAATAACTTAAGTTTTGGAAAATAAGAACGACATGAAACGATAGTTTTGGGGGTTTCGATTTCCCATGTAGCGAATATGTAATACTTTTGGGTTGTAACGTTCCTAGTTCGTCCTGTTGCCTGATGTAACGGCAGAGATTCGGTTAGTTGTGTTTATTGTTTGGAAGAGATGTGTTCTTAAATTTATTGAAGAAGAAGAAGACGAAGATAAAGAGTAAGCCACCTAAACTATTAAGTGCATTTGGGTCACGGAAATAATTATTCTCTGAAACAGGTTGGATACTGCGGTCTTCGACTGACGTTGGGAGAGATATAATAACGGCTTCCGAAAAATGGTGAAGGCCGCCCCATGCCATTGCCGTTTCCCGTGCATATCCAAGGGAGGTTAGCAAGCTAGGTGTTAGATTTCCTTAAGCCTTCGATGGTACATGGCACCAAGCTCTAAACTATAAAATAAAAGAAATAGGCACTCCACATTATCTTACTCGAATCATTTCCAACGTCCTTGACAATAGAAGTTTTGCCGTTACAGTTGATAACAATCACTCTAATCCAAAAGCGGTCGAAGCAGGCCTTCTCCGTTATCTCCCGCTCTTTATAACTTGTACGTAGCCGACCTACCGAAACATAGTAAAATAAAAAGATTTAAGATTATTAGTTAGATCATTTTCAGTTAATTATAAGTAGATATAAGCAATTAAAACAAATATGAAGTATATTAAACACTGATCTTTGTATTGTCCTGTCCAAATGAAAATAAATAAATAATTTAAAAAAGGTGTTAGCTAGGATGCTAATCTAAATAGTGCTGATGGATACGATAACCTCTTTGGGAAGGTTCGAATCCAGAGTTTGAAATGGATAAATTTATCTTGTGATTCGTTATCGTGTGCTAAACAAAACATATCGCTACGTACATATCGCCACGTATTGAAACAGAGATTTAAGGTAAACTGAAAGGCTAATGAAAAGAGTATCATTTTTCATTAGCCTTTCAATTCAACCTTAAATCTATGTTTCAATACTTTTATCTTTAGACGCAAACACCTTTTCAAGGATATTAGCCTTCCTGTTAGACAAATCTGTGAACATAAAAATAATTCCGTCATTTAGAAGTATAGTATTTTATTTCACATTTTAATTAGAGTATATAAAATTTATTGCGAAGTAATAATTTAAAAGCTTATTACACATATTGCAGTCACATTGAATAAAGCACGAATTTTGCGTAATTTATTTTGCGACACCGTTGTGAGTAGCTGATTAAGCAGTAGAGAGGCCATGTTTAGATGCAGAAATAGACGCACTGACGTTCAAATGGAACTCCGAAACATAGCCGTGCATCCAGATTTTTGTGTGATCAACGGTTAATTCCCCCAAACATTAATTCAGAAGGCATTGAGTCGCTAGGGCAACAGTGTTATATGGCAATAATAATTGAAAAGCATATCGAAAGAAAATTCTTGCAAGGATACTTTTTTTGTTACAGAAACAAACTTTCAAATAATGATACAGATTTAACTTTCGGGTTATATAAAGTAAAAAAAAGTGTTTCAAAGTTAAACAATAACGTGACTAGGTTATTGAATTGCACTATAGTCAAAATTTAATATTTTAATGTTGAAATTCTGGAGTTTGCCACACATCTCGCAATTGTGATCCATTGCAAACAGCCAGGAGGAAGCCATATTGCAGACTGGTAAAGTTATTTCTTACATAGGCATTTCAAAGAATATTCTTTTACAGGCATTTACGCGAATGTAAAAGAAAAACACTAAAATAAATAACTATAATAATGATTGCACCCGAATTTACAAATATTTTATCACGATAGGTGACATTCATCCGTTACACATGACAAACAAATAACATGTGATTCGACGTTCAATACATTGTATTTTTAGCCGTGCCAAAATCTTATTTTGGAGCTCAGATCCGATTTTTAAAAAAAATTTTTACTTATGTCAGATTTGAAGCTCGCCATTCTCAATATCTTGTACATCTGCTGTAATTCGTAATTTTTTTACGTATTCTACAGTATTTCTTCAATAAGTATTACATAAATTAATAAGTTTTTAAAATCTAAATGTTTAAAAAATAGTGAATTTTTTTAAAGAAACCTTCCTGGATAAACCTCAATGTATTATATTTATGTATTTAAAAAAACCTTGTAATGCAAATCCAAGGATAAATTATTTTTTAAGGAAAACCATACTTAAGGTGGAAAAGACTTGTTGAGAATACTAAACAAATTATTCTTTTTTATACAGAGTTACCTGAAATATTGTCATTAATATTATAATATACGAATGGTTAAAAAAGAGAATTGTCTAGTATTGTGGTTCCATAAAATGTAGAATTTGGATGCGTCCAACACACAGAAAAACATTCCATGCCGATGGAAGGCCCGGGAAATTTGGATTCGACCTCAGGGGCTCCCGGCGATCCGGTGGGCGGGCACAGCGCGGAGCAGAGCGAGTCGGTTTTTGTGTGAGTCCGTCTCTGGCTAGGCGCGTCTACCGGTGTCACTTCAGATGACAAGAATTAAAGGCTGCTGCCGCCTGTCGAAGGTGTAGCGGGCGGAGTCGCCTCTTTTTGTGCGCGTTTAAGACGCAGACCTGGCGCGAGATAGGAGCGCGTCAAGAGCAGTGTCTCCCAGCGACAGATTAATCGCGGTTGACGCACACGGCAGTGTGACGGCTGCAGCAGGAACGAAGAGTTTATTTTACTTCCTTCGCGACGCATCTCTGTTTAAGTTTGTTTTCTAGTTTTAGGTAGCAAGATATTCTTAAAGGGCTGTTCCAGCATGCTGCTAAATATTGTGTTCAAAAATTTCGTTTCTTACATGTCATCCAAGACAGACATTGCATGTACTGCAAGAGAGTTGAATCCTATATTGAACTCTACGATTTCGAAGGTATGGAGACTGAATGGACAGCACATTTATGAATATTAAAAAAGCTTATATTGGATTGTAATTTCATTTTTCACGTATTAATAATATTTTAATAAGAAATTAAGTTGAAAGTAGGGCTGGTTTCTGTACAGTATTAGTATCTGACACGATTTGAGTACAAGATTATTCCATTTTAGAATTTTCCGTTTTTTAACAGTTTCTCTAAATTTATTTCAGATACTATTAGCTTGATGGTCAAGTTTGCTTCCGGTAGTATTGATTCCGTACAATGCAACGCATTCCAGATTTAGATTCGGAGCAAGAATATTTGTGTGGAGTATGTACACAAACGAGATGGTGAGTATACTAGAACATTCTCCGAGAAACAACCCTGAAATTACGCTAACTAGTTTGACAAAAAAATGCAATATTATTCCCAAAATTTTGTATGAAAACATTACCTTCGGAGTTAATATTTGTATAAATATTTTTTTGTAGAGAGCAGATTAAAGGCTTTCATTGAAGGCAGTCGGTCTAAGTCTCGGAAGACGTGTGATAATGAGATCTTCAGATTTTCTGAAATGGATCTCTGGAAATACTGCAGTCTCCTACTCAACCTCAACACCTTGGCCGTCACCATTACCATTACCATTACCATTACTGATGGGTTGATTGATTGATTAGCGCGTGTTTTGTTGCGAGAAGGTGACCTTCCCTCGCTGGACGGCAAGTTCCGGCGCCGGCCTATCCGTTGGTTTGCGTGTTTTCCTCAACCAGGTATCTCCCACCAATGACAACCAACGTATGGATACATTTAACAGATGCCACGAAATTCCATGCCATTTCCCTACGATTTTAAAAATCAATGTCAAGTATTTGGCTCATTGATACGGTGTATTAATAAGCATTAATGACTGATTCAATATGAAGTATTAAAACTTCGCACCTTCCACATCTGGGTTCAATTGCAATCCATGTGGAATGTGTTGTAGCCAAAGCAGGTTTTCGGTAACTCTTTTTAGAGGTTCTCCGTTTCTACCAGCGTCAAAATTCCACTCTTATTCACCATTCACATCATCGCCATCCAATAAGCTTTTCGTCTCAGGTAGGTCGAAAAGAGAAACTGAGAATCATAATAAAGTAAGTATCCAATAGCGGTTGGTGACAATTAATATATTTTTAAAATGTATTATTTTAAACGTCAACACAGGATTTAAATCCAAACTATTTCTAGTCTAAAAGAAGTAATAGCATTATTAATTCTATTGTTTAAATGTCCTGTTTGAAAAATCTATATAAATTAAAAAGAACAATTTGAAAATTAATGTAAATTAAATATTTATTCCCTCAAACATAAATTTAATTGAAATATTTTCCTTTATTAATAACATGGATTCTCTTAATATTTTCTGAACCGGGTCTTAATTAACCATGATAAAATATTGGTATAATCTAGTTATGGTGCACTTGAGAGTACTCAATACCATTCCATAATATTTTCTAGACCTTACAATCTTTCCAACTTTTGAAAGACAACATTTAATTTCTTCAGAAATAAAGACAATTGCAACTTCGATATCAGCAGGCAAAAAATTACGTTCTATCATCTTGAAATTTCAAAACAAAAACAATACCTACAATGCACCTACTTTTGCTCCCTACTAATTGTGCTGTTAAATATTTCGATAATAAAAGGTAATCAATTTTTTTCATTGTTGGGTACCATTTAGAAAAAAAAAGCAAGAACATTGTAATGGATTTAGTATGTATGCGTTTGAAAATGTTCTCAACTTTTCAGATTACATTTATCATAAGGGGAAGGGGAAAATCGAGAAAACCATTAATTTCGTAAAGAGATATTTTTCTAACGATTACATGTACAAAACATATTCTACGCATGTGATGTGGGGAATGCAATTCTATCGTTCATTGAATAAAAAATGGTCAAAGACGCATGAATACGAATGCAGAGAAAAAGATGCAGATGCAGAGAGAAAGTGATATCCACAACACGAAGTTAAATTGAAATTCATTCCCTCCACATTTCAACAGCTTCAACCCTACGCCCGGACATGTTTTCTGTCTCAATAGAAACACTTACGGAGGTCCCAGAACTGTCGCTTTACAAGCGAGAAAAGCTCGACAAGAGCTCCCAAAGATGCGGAGTCGGGGAAGAAGAAGAAGAAGAAATCGGGGAGCGAGGGGAGAAGGGTGTCGGACGCATTGCAACACGCTTCGTCGCTTCTGATCTCGGGCAACGGCGCAATTAGACGAAAAGAAGCAAGCGCCTCGAGGGGAATTTTATCTGGGCGTAAGACCCGAGAACATCAAGAGGACGTTCGCAAACATTGTCTTTAAGGAGCCCGGCAATTTCTCGCGACAGCTATTTGAACATGCACAGCAATCGACTGCTAATTGTCGACGACAACAATCGATTTAGCTGCTTCTCTTCTTTTTTTCTCGGCAGAAAATAAACGCGATCGTCAATGTTTTCCGCAGTTTTATTCGTGTTGTTCATTTCACTCACACTAATTAGAAAAGAAGCGAATGGAAATAACTAACAACACAATAAAAATTTGCACAAATACCGGATCTTCACTGAAGAAACAACTTTACGGTGCACATAACTCGTACTTGCTGTCGGAACATTGATGTGCAGATGAAATTTCAAACATAAAACATGTTCCGGTCTTATGGCTTGCACGCGAATTACAGAAGGCATCCAAATGAATGAATTGCTCCAACCGAGTCCGTATGTCGACATGAAAAAAATTGAAATTCAATATTTGGAATAAATGAGCTTATGTTTTCGTTTGGTCGAACACATGTAGAACATTAAAAACCGTGGCAATCGGAACGTGCGCCAATCAATGAACTCGCAATATTGTATCTTGGGGATTGGCTAGTTCTGCTCGCCCGGGAAGCCAGCACTTGATAGGTGCTGCCGCCTGGCGCTTCGCTGGGGAAACAGCACATAAATTCTCTGCGTAGCCTCCAACAGGGCAAGCGGAAATTCCAGGCGGTTCCTTTCAGCCTTGTACGTGTCCAAGCCTTCATGCAAAGGGACATCTAAACAATGCATCATGCAACATTTTTTAAATAGAAACGATCCATGTTGCGTTCATGCCGCACGATGGTCAATACAGTATAATTTCAGAAAAGCCATAAATTATCCGCTCCGAACAGCACGCCGCTCGACATGTTTCTGCCAAAGCCGCGAGGCTAGGAAATCTACGGTGTTCAAAATGGATGCCGCTCGGCAAAGCCACCACGTTTCGACGAGAAATACTTGAAGCTTTCTCTACGAAGAAGCAATCCTGCATCGTGCTAACATTCACACATGATCTATAAGTGACAAAGTTTACGTATAGTACTTACCCGGCCCCCAAAACGCCGTCGAATCGCCGTGAAGAGTCGCGAAACGTGGAGATTCTCGCCCGAAGCACACTCGGCCGCCTGTACGCTCATAACTCGTCGCGGTTATCGCCGCGCCGGCGGCCGGGGTGGGGGGCGGTGGGCGTGCCCGGCCAAAGGCTCCTCCCCCTGTCATGACGTCACCCGCGGCCCATGAGGTTACTCGCGCTGTAGCAGCGGCGGCGTTTGGTAGCAGCCGCGCGCCGCCGTGCAGGTTTTCGGCGCTGGCGCGGCGCGCAGCTCGTGACGAGGAGTTGACAGTGCGGCGCTCCAGTGTGTGCGCGCGCGGCGCTCACGGCGGACCGGCGACCGACCCGCGCGCGCGCGTGCGAGAGAGAGAGAGAGAGACGGAGCGAGAGAGTGGGAGGGGGAAAGAGAGAGAGAGAGAAAGAGAAGGTGAGCGTGCGCCCGGGGGCGGAGGCGGCGGCGCGGTACGGCGCGGCGCGCGCCCCACGGAGTGTCTGGTGATTGCGCCGAAGTCTATCTGTCTACTGTAGCAGCGCACGCCCGCCCGCCTGCCCGCCACCGCGCGCCGGCCTGGAGGGGACCTCCGGCGCGAGGCGTGGATTGTCACTCAGCCAGTCAGTCGGAGCGTGTCGGGGCTGCCTGACCTCCGGTTGCAGTCTGCCCGCCCCGTTCCAGCCACCTCCACGCCCCTGCCGCCCCGCTTCGTGTTGGGCCAGCGTCTCCGACACCGGACGACGTCAGCCTTGGGTCGACCCGCATCGGTGCCTGCGACGCAGGCAGCGAAAACGCCCTCACGACACCTTTCCGCCCGACATCGCAGCTCCTGACCGGCGATGACGTGAGAAAAAATAAAAATAAGCGTGTGAACAGAGAGAAATCAAAATAAAAAAGACCGCGTGTGGCGACAGACGAAAGTGATGGTCATTTGCAGGCGACAGGTTGAGGTTAAAAACGACGCCAATGTGGCAACTCGTGATCACTGCTGTAGCGTGTGCTATGTGGCCTAACAGTGTGGTCGGCGAGCGGAAGAATCGAAAAAGTCGCTAAAGAAAACCGCACGCAAACCCTGAATTCTGCGACGGCACCGACCTGCTAGCGCGTGACGCGTGTGTGAACGTGTTGTGGTGATTGCAAAAATAAAATAAAAAATATTTTTGAAAAATATATGAAAGAAAGGTGTCTCTGCGCAATGTGTCGCCGCAAGCCCCGAGTCGGCTGCAGCAGCTAACTGTGACCGCCCACACCCACCTCCGCCACGTGCGGATCCGACATCCTCATCATCATTTCGCCCCCGCGCCCGTCGCAGCCCACGCCGCACCACTGGCGTCTCGTGAATGCAGTGAGGACATCCCAGCGTCGCCCCTGCCTCTACGGGAGCGCCGAGCCATGCCGAGGAGGAAACAAGACTGCCCCAAACGCATGAAATGTAAGTACTTGGCGCGCAGAGGCCGGGCCACGACGCACGAAGCGCGCCCGACGTCCAACCAGCCGCGCCACGGCGCTCAGCTTGTGTCACCTTGCGCGCTAAGTGTTGCACGACTCTTAAAACCGATCCGCAGCGCTCGTGAAGTGTCGAGACGCACGTCGTGAATCGAACCACCGCGCGAGCGAAGTGTCACGCCTCATCTACACATATAAAGCAAAGCGCGCGAAGTGTCAGGACACTCGTGGACTGAATCACATCGTCAAGTGACAGAACATCGCGGTGGTTTTGCGCCACACCGCCGCGAGTGAAGTGTCAGCGACGCTTAGGAACGAACCACACACAGCGCGCGTCGTCACCACGCTCAAGTGCTAAGTTGTTGTGTGACGCTGCCGCTTAGGCCGAACCTCAGAGCGCGGCGCGTGGCGGTGTCAAAGGTTGGTCGCGCGCGGTGCGAAGTGCCACGCGTCGCCCCCTTGCAACCGAACCACCTCAGCGCGCCCGCGAAGTGTCACACCCCGCACAACTGAACCACACAGCAGCGGGCCCGTGGCAACGCGCGCGCGACGCGCCAAACCGCGCCGCGGCGCGGCCGGGCCCGCGCGAAACGAGCATCTCGCCCGGAAGGCGCCCGCAACCGGTTGAAAGAGGCGCACGGGAAGCACGCGGGCGCTGCCACGCGGGGTGGACGCGTGAGGTGTCGAGCGCGAAACGCAGCGCGCTGTTCCGCCGGGTCTCGCGTCGCCCTTTCCGCAGCGTGCGCTGCGCGCTCCTTGGGCCGGCCGCTTCGAAGGAGCTTCGCAGCAGCTTCGATTTTTCGAGGCGCACTCGTGCGCCGTCTCTCCTCCCTCGCTTCGCGCGCGCGCCCGCCCGCTCGCTGTTTTTGCTAGCTTTTCCCCTTCTGTGTGACGTGAGTGACGCTTGAGTGACAGCTAAGTAGAAGGGGTGGAGCGGGCCTCGTGTCAGGGTAAGAGAACGAGAGAGACAGACAGACGGACGGACGGCGTGCGAGCGAGGCGGATAGCCGTGGAGGGGAAAGAGAGAGAGGGAGAGGGGAAGACGGAACGAGACAGGGGCGTGCGCCGCCGCCTCGACCGTCTGCTTTTGTCGGCGAAGCGCGCCGCGGTGGCGAGAGAGAAAGAAACCGGCCGTCGCCGCTCTGCAGCCCTGCGTGCGCTTCAGAAAAGAAGCCTTCAATGGCGACGCTTGGGAGGGGAGTGCGCTCGGCATACTCCGGACGTAGTGGTCGTCTACTCGAGGAGCGTGAGCGTAATGAAAGGGTTGGTCCGCGTTTACGTATGAAGCGTGCTCACGCTCGTGACAATTGGGGCGGCGCCCGTCGCGCGCCGCGGTGCTGCCGGGGCGGCCACGCGCGCCGGCGACGCCCGGCGGTCGCGACGCGGCTGGGCGTCGTGCACGTGGCCGGCGCGCCGGGCGACGGCGCTTTGTCGGAATGCTGGTCGCCTGCACAACGCGCTTACTCTTCGCAGAGGGTTGAGCGGGGAGAAATCTCTTTCCCCTCTCGCGTGGTGTGTGTAGAATGTTCGTTGTTTCGTTTGCGACCGAGCGATGTATGATGCTTTGGCCTAGCGATGTGCAGCCGGAACAAACGGATCAGTCGTTGAATCTGAAGATTGCATGCTAGCGACACCGTTTTGGCTTGCTGTGTACGAGCAACATATTCACGCCTTGGTTGCGAAAAATACTTTAAAAAAATATTGTCTTCCAGTTTTCGTGAAACACAGTCGAGAATTTGAGTTATAGTTTACTTTGTGAATCACAAACACGCTTATGCTGTGAACATTGTCTTGAAAATGTAATCCTAGAAAATATAAATAAACCTAGAAAACGAAATTTACATTTTATGATTGTTTACCTTTGTTCTGCAAATAACGCGTTTAACCTTAAATGGTATTTATCTGAATACATATGATAGTTTTCTTACATGTTCAAAGGGAACCGCGGGAGATTTTGTCATGTACGATGTTGTAAGTGTCATAATTATACGGATGTGTAGTAGATGTTGTCACTAAAACGACAAAAATATCGAACATTCACATCGCAGATTCAAAGTTCATTAATGTCAGTGACGTGGCAACGCCACAAACGTGACAGATAATAGTGAATTACTAATAGAAAATTGGCCTAAACGTTGATGTATTTTACGAGTAGAACGAATTGTGTATTAATTATATTTTGGAATATTTTTTGTTTCATCAAACTTGTAAATCTTCAATAAACATTTTAGAAATCACGTTAGATTTTTTTATCGTTAATTTCAGAAATTCAGCTCATTTCCCCGTGATTGTATGAGTAACGAAGATGTCATTTCAAGCCTATGGAAGCAAAGCATCCATGAGCTTATGATTCACGTCTAAAAATGCAAGAACAGCTGTTATGAGCGTGAAATCGTAACACACCTCCTTGGTTTTATTCTACACTATCTATGACATAAGTCGCTATCTCAGCTGCAAGGGTACGGTAACATTTGCCCGAGTGACACAATTTTTTCTGAATCCCTTCCTTTTAAACCTGTACACACTTCAACTTCATTTGCAGCGATTCTATTCAGCAACGTCCAAATCAGAGGATGAGTGTTGCTCAGCTGATAGACCCGCATTGGCGCCACACCCCTCACGATCCGTCACAGTCCCTTCCCGCTCTATTAGCATGCACGCCGACCACTTAGCGGCACTTTGCACGAAGTGTGTGTGTGTGGGGGGGAGTGGCGTCCCCCCTCGTCCCCCCGGGGTCGGCCCCCCTCGTGCCTTTTGTCGCCGGCCCCGCCTCCCACAAAGCCCCGCACGTGCGAAAACGCTCGCGCCGCCGGCGCTCCTGATGTAGGTGCGTCGCGGCGGGGCGCCGGAGGCGTCGCGGCGCCGTCCGCTAGTCGATCGCGTGCGCGGGCGTCGACGCCGCCCCGCCGCCCCCGCCGCCGATGTTCGCACGTCTCCTCCCAGCAGCCTAGTTGCGTACACGGCCCCGGCCCGTCCCCCGGGACGCTAGTCGCTGCTTGGGTGTGGGGGTGGCTGGTTGGTTGTCCTCTGCCTCCGGGGTGATTCTTGATCGACGCTTCGCGATCTGGCGTTTGGTTTTCAGCCTTTCCGGGCGGTCGGAGATTGAAGCTTTCGCGTCTTTACTGAGATTCGACTTGAGATTTTTTGATACTGCCTGGGAAGATAGTTTATTTTCATATGTGTCTTCGTTATTAGGGTAATTACTTAGATTTTTCGAAACATTTTGGCGACATAACGTTTTATCGCTCAAGTGTTAAGATACGTACACATCTAGTGCTTCAAGAATAATTTCTGTGGCTGGTAATGCTGCCACTTCTGTCACTCTTCTTCTATAAATGAATGACATTTTGTGTTTTTTATTCGTTAATAACTTCAAGTTACACATCTATGAACTATTGTTAACGAATTATTATTCGTTTTTGATGAATTATGGCGATTTTATGCGAATTTAATTCGGTTTGTTTTGGATGTTGAATAGGAATATTAAGGAATCCATAATTCTCTTTAGGATTAATATATTTGTCTTTGCATTGTTTTCATATTTGATGGCTTTTGCAATATTCTCTACCATTTAGCGTTGTTTTGTATATAGTCGACGAATCTAGTTACGTTAATGAAGTAATCGCTCTTGATTGTTATTGATACATTCAAATTTTATTGGTATACAAAGATTGATACATTTCATTCATTGATATACGAAGCTATTGATACATTCAACTAACTTCAATTCAAGAAATTGTGTTCGCTGATGGAGTGTCACTTTGAATAACTCAGCTTGCGAAAACCTCGTCACATCTGAATTACCAACACCACCTCCAGATTTCGGGAGTCTTGAAGACACGTTCGTTTCTCCTCCGTTTCGCCCCTCGCTTTCATCGGCGCCGCCTCCTACCACCCGCCCACCCCGTCGCGGCTTCCACAATGCGACGCCGTCGTCCAGCGACCCTTGCGTCTCCGCGCCTCCGCTAGACCTAGCCTTCGCCTTTCGAATTTCGCGAGGGGGAGGAGAGGAGGAGGCGGTCCCGACGTCGACGCCCCGCCCCGCCCCGCCCCACCCCGCGCACGCGTACGGCGCGTGGGCGAGCACCGCCTCCGCCCCGTGGGCAGGTGGCGCTCGGCCTGTGGACGGCGGCGGCGGCGACCGCCCCCGACTGAAGCTCGCGGCCTCCTCGCGGCGCCCCCGGACGCGCCTCCACGGTGAGTACTCTGCCCTCAGCCGCCGCGACGAGCTCACTGGCACCGGCCGCGACTTCTTTGCTGGAGAGGTTTTAATTTTTTTATTCCGACAGTTGGTTTTACTGATAATTTCTCTGTTTCAAGGGATAGAAACACTCTTCGTTATTCGTGAATGCTCAGGCCCATGAATGCTCAAATTTTATTGCAACTACTTTATTACAGTTTATCATGTCTGGTGTTGTCACTAATTGTGCCTTTTTAATTATTTTTTTCGAAAGTTCTTTGGAAAGGGGCGGATTTTATTTATTTGAGTTTATTCCGGGTACAGGATTATTGCTAATACCTGAATATCAAGGTACATTGACACTCTTCGTGATTTGTGAATGCTTAGAACCCCGAAAAGTTTATTGGAACTGGACGTTTTTTTTTCTTTATTCTAGTATTTCTTTACTGCTGACTTCATTGATGATGCCTTTCATTTTTAATTTAAATATTTGTTTTCATTTTTTTTATTTCTTTGAAATCCGACGGATTTTATTTATTTGACCTTATACTGGCTCTTGTTTATCTGATAAAACCTGAATCTTAAGGAATGCAGACATTCTTCGTGATTCGTGAATAGTCAGATCCGCGAAAGTTTTTTTTGGAATTCGACGTCATTCTTTTTCTTTATTGGAGTTTATAGTGGCTGTTGGTTTCTCTGATAATTCCTTTGCTTTTTAATTTTTTTTTCTTCGTAGGAGATTATTTGTTTCACTAATAATGCCTAAATCTCAATCTCAAGCTGTATTGTTTAGTAAATGACGACAC